TATTTAAATCGATTTTCAACCGGCTCGCGGTTAATCGTTATATCCCTACTTTTGATTCAAGTACAACCTCATCTACAGTACTTTCTCTTAGAGAAGTATAGCTCAATGAAATCCATTCAAACAATACATTCTTAATAAACTTGATGAAAGTGAAAACTATTAATGAAAGTGATTTGGGATGAGACGTCTGTTCACTCAGTACTGTTTCTGCAACAGAGATATTCTGGTTTATCTTCAACAGCCACTGACTCTCAGATCAATAACAAAATGTAATGCCAATCAAAGCTCGCTGAGCCTGACGTTATTTGCATGGCTTATTCCACGGCATGGAAAACTAGACGATAGGCAAAGATGCTCACTCTTATCTGTCCAAAACATGTTTTCATCTCGTCCATGGATAGATCTTTTCTTCAGCAACTCCCACTCAACCGAAAATAAGACAAATATAGTGAGTCCTAATGTAAACATAAAAGTTCCAAAGGAAAATGGGTTGCACTTTTACAACTCAGCAGACCTAATAGAGTTCTCAGAGTCTATGAAAGTAGACACAAATAAGTCAATAGTTAACAAACAGTAAGAGCATAAAGCTAAAAATGAATATGGATGCCCAGTTAACAGGGAATGTTCCCAGGAGTTTGGCTAACGTTCTGACAATGTTCTCTCAAAGTTATGAACAAATGCTTATAATGTTAATAGAATATTTGTTCAAAGCTATCTGCTTTAATAACGTTCTCAAAACATCAGCACAAAAATGTTGTCTATACATCGTTCATGGAACGTTTTCTTTCTGAATCTATTGTTGGATGTTCATGTAATGTTTTTTAAACGTTACAAATTGTCAAATATAACACTTATAATAAAAGTGTTTGCGTGCTCATTTAACATTCATATGACTAAGAAAAAAACGAACGGTTTCAAAAACCGTTTAGAGAACATTCTGAAATAACGTTTTCATGACTTAACGAAATATTAGCAAAACGTTCTCAGAACATGTTTTTATTAGCTGGTAAATTATCCGGTTCTTAAAGGGGACATCAGATGCCCATTTTCCACAAGTTGCTTGACATTGCATGAGTCTTCATGAAATGTCTGCAACATACTTTGGTTAAAATTCTTCAATGGTCGTGTATAACAACACCCTTTTTAACCTTGTCAAGGACAGCTCTGTTCACAGCGACCCGTTTCGTTGCATGTCTCTTTAAATGATAATGAGCTACTGCTCACCCCGCCCCTCAATTCTGTTTTTTGTGTATTCGGTGGCGAGTTACCATTAAAAACAAAACGAGTCCACTACGTCTTCAGTGGCTTTGATGTCGGGCGAAAATGAAAACTCTTATGTTCACTTTTACATCCAACTACAAAACACCTGCATTGCTTACAAGACATTGTTGTCGCTACAACTGCTCGAGTCCGGAGATAATGACAGAGACCGTACAACTAGCTGAGGGCGGAAATATGCTAATATGGGACAGTCCGTCAGCGGTCGTGGGCGGGGCCTGAAGAGTATGACATCATACTGCACAGAAAATCAAAACGGCTCGATAATTGAGGTTTTTGGGGGTTTAAAAAAAATGAGTGAATGGATTTTTATTATTATAGGGTGCTAAGACACATGATATGCAAACACCATGTAAAAGTGAATTTTGCATCCGATGTCCCCTTTAATAATGTTTTCAAAACTTTTGCACAAAAATGTTATTTATGCATAATATATTACACAATAATTTAGTTGGATGTTTGTCTAACATTTACAAAATGCTACTACTTATTCAGAAAGTTTAAGGAACATTCAAAAGTAGCATTTTCATAATGTTTGCAATGGAACGTTCCCTTAACATTTGTATAACCAAGAATTTTTTTTTTTTAAACTGGACATTTTGAATGTTCAGATAACATTCAGAAATAACATTTTCATAACTTATAACATCACAGCTCAGATCATTTAGCCTGAGAACTGTTCATATTGAAGCTTTTGATTGCACACTTTGAGCACAATGTGAGACATTAAAATCTTTTGACACATTTGACATCACTGGAGCCAAATGTGCAAAGTCTCGATTTGCTCTCCATTTAATCTCAGTGCCGTCCAGGTGGAAAAGTCGAGATACCAGAGATCTGGTTTGTGATTCTTATGCGTGTCCTTAAGTGAACAGCAGCTAATTATAAACAAGCGATCGGGTTATTTTCGCCACGTTATGCAGCCTGTCACATGATAAACTATCTTCAATAAGCCATTGAAAACATATAACAATAGTTCATATGAGCGCGCTGAAAGGAACCGTAAGCACATGCCTTCAGTCACGTGCGGCGGCCGCTGCAGTCGCTCTGAGAGAACAGAGGGGGTTGTTTGCACAGAGACAGCGGCTGTATTGGGTTTGCTCAAGTGGTAAACATGCAGTAAAGCACCTGCTGACAGCATACAGCATGACAGACCGGTGTCGACCCTGCTGTCCTCTCGGCTCCTGTGTGGGCCCCAATGAGGCCGCCTGGCTGTTTAATCACAGCTAATTGTGAACAACTGGCCACTTTATGTGTGTGTGTGTGTTCAAGGTGGACAATGGTAATGTTCACATTTTGTCTCTCTCTGTAAACTCCGGCTAATGTGCGAAGGGTTAATGAGGAGGTCTAATCCAAAACAGCCTCAGATGGGCGGCAGAAAGGCTTTGCGCCTCCTTAACTGCCTACAGACTGATTGACAGCATGCTGATACCCTCCTGATGTGGTTGCTGGTCAAATTCAACCCATTCTCGCTCTCAATGTGTCAAAAATTGAAGCATGGTCACTTATTAAGATGCTAAAGGTATTCCTAAGCGTCGACCAACTACATTACTTTCAATTGCTTGCCTAAGGCTTTAGATCAAGATGCATGTACCCAGCCAACAGGGAATGTTCTCACTAACTGTCACTAAGAACATTTTGTCCTAACATTAATATAACTTAAAAAACATTAAAGTAATGTTTATGGAATGCTCTTATAACTTTATTAACTCTTTCCCCACCAGTGTTTTTTTTTTAAAGATGCCAGCCCCCACCAGTATTTTTGATCATTTTCACAAAAGTTTAATGGCACCCAGAATATTTTGTTGTATAAATATATCTGAACATGCAATTTGTTTTATCAAAACAAGGAACAGAGCCTCTGCTTAAAAAAAAAAAAGCAAACAAAGAAAAAAAAACATTTTATACTAGCTTCTTTTCTAGCTTCAATGTGGGTAGGTTTCATGAAAAAAGCAACATTTTGAACAAAAAGCTGAGAAAACGGTGTTTTTGTAAAAGACTATGTCTGGATCAGATTCAGAACGATGATCAAAACATAGATGGAATAGATTGCTTCCATCAACACATCTAAAGCTTGCACGATCCTATACCACTTCCTCGATCATCATTTTATTCGGTAATGTTAGGCATTTTTTATTTATATGCTGTTTAATGTTTGCATTATTTTGCATATCCATCTGCTTACATACGCAATCGTTTTTTTCTACTTCTTGGCATGTTTCGATTCAGACGTTCAATACTCTTTCCGAAGATGTGTAATAGCGCCCCCTACCGTACACCAGTGAAAACACAGAAAGCCAGAAAATTCCATCATTGGCGGGGAAGCGTTGTCTCATAAATGAGGGAAAATTCCGTCAACGGCGGGGAAAGAGTTCATATTTGATATACTGTACATTCTCATAGAAAACATTCTTAGAAGAACAACATTCTCAAATCGTCCTTATGATGTTATTTGTTACTTTTTTTTATAACCTTTAAATGTTCCAATCACAACAAGAAATGTTTTTAGAATATAAAAAATTAAAGATCAAATAATATATTTTGGGTGAAAAAGTTAGTAGGAAACATTTTTGTAACCTTAAATTAGCGTTCTAATCATGACAACACAACTGGACATTTCAATGCTCTTACAATATTAAAAATAAACCTTCAAATAATGTTAGAAATAATGTTAGCAGAATGTTGTAAAAAAGTTTTTGTAACCTTTACATAACGTTCGAATCATGACAAGAAAACAGGACATTTAAACATTTTAGAAACATTTAAAAAATAATGTTTTTATAAACTAAATGTTTTATCTGAGTAATTCTCTGCATGCCTTTGTAAAATTAGATGTGATTTTTATGCGTGTTTAGATATTTTTGAGTACCTAACCCCAACCTCTTCCCTAAACTAACTTATCAACAATATAAAATGCATAACAGTCAGATACAAGTACAGTCACAGCATTGCAAAAACTCAAAAAAACTCCAAGTGCTCTGAAGGTGTACAATATCTTCATGCAAAGAACCAATCGAAACTTTAGGTTTTAATAGCTAAAAATGTCCCTGCTATTTGAATGTAGTCGCATATTATTCAAAATATACAATTGAACTATAGAATGGTGCATTATTGTGAATTATTTTGGCTGTTCAAATCATACCACAACATATATGCCATAATGACAATATCATACTCCAATTCCCATCACGTCTGTGCATTGATGCCAATGTTTTCCAATTGAAAACGAGTTCCTAGTTCATTGACAAAAGTTTAATGGCACCCAGAATATTTTGTTGTATAAATATATCTGAACATGCAATTTGTTTTATCAAAACAAGGAACAGAGCCTCTGCTTTAAAAAAAAAAAAGCAAACAAAGAAAAAAAAACATTTTATACTAGCTTCTTTTCTAGCTTCAATGTGGGTAGGTTTCATGAAAAAAAGCAACATTTTGAACAAAAAGCTGAGAAAACGGTGTTTTTGTAAAAGACTATGTCTGGATCAGATTCAGAACGATGATCAAAACATAGATGGAATAGATTGCTTCCATCAACACATCTAAAGCTTGCACGATCCTATACCACTTCCTCGATCATCATTTTATTCGGTAATGTTAGGCATTTTTTATTTATATGCTGTTTAATGTTTGCATTATTTTGCATATCCATCTGCTTACATACGCAATCGTTTTTTTCTACTTCTTGGCATGTTTCGATTCAGACGTTCAATACTCTTTCCGAAGATGTGTAATAGCGCCCCCTACCGTACACCAGTGAAAACACAGAAAGCCAGAAAATTCCATCATTGGCGGGGAAGCGTTGTCTCATAAATGAGGGAAAATTCCGTCAACGGCGGGGAAAGAGTTCATATTTGATATACTGTACATTCTCATAGAAAACATTCTTAGAAGAACAACATTCTCAAATCGTCCTTATGATGTTATTTGTTACTTTTTTTATAACCTTTAAATGTTCCAATCACAACAAGAAACGTTTTTAGAATATTAAAAATTAAAGATCAAATAATATATTTTGGGTGAAAAAGTTAGTAGGAAACATTTTTGTAACCTTAAATTAGCGTTCTAATCATGACAACACAACTGGACATTTCAATGCTCTTACAATATTAAAAATAAACCTTCAAATAATGTTAGAAATAATGTTAGCAGAATGTTGTAAAAAAAGTTTTTGTAACCTTTACATAACGTTCGAATCATGACAAGAAAACAGGACATTTAAACATTTTAGAAACATTTAAAAAATAATGTTTTTATAAACTAAATGTTTTATCTGAGTAATTCTCTGCATGCCTTTGTAAAATTAGATGTGATTTTTATGCGTGTTTAGATATTTTTGAGTACCTAACCCCAACCTCTTCCCTAAACTAACTTATCAACAATATAAAATGCATAACAGTCAGATACAAGTACAGTCACAGCATTGCAAAAACTCAAAAAAACTCCAAGTGCTCTGAAGGTGTACAATATCTTCATGCAAAGAACCAATCGAAACTTTAGGTTTTAATAGCTAAAAATGTCCCTGCTATTTCAATGTAGTCGCATATTATTCAAAATATACAATTGAACTATAGAATGGTGCATTATTGTGAATTATTTTGGCTGTTCAAATCATACCACAACATATATGCCATAATGACAATATCATACTCCAATTCCCATCACGTCTGTGCATTGATGCCAATGTTTTCCAATTGAAAACGAGTTCCTAGTTCATTGATATAGCGACACCTTTAGCATCTGCTAACAGTGTGCTTGACAATGCTTCAGTTTCTTGGTAATGAGAACGGGTTGTCAAATGAGTTAATACCTGGCTGCGGATCTGTCGGCTGGTGTTGGGGGTCAGGTAGTTGTGCTCCAGGTACCACGCTCTCTCCTGATACAGCAGACTAGTGCCATGAAGAAGGCAGAACTGTAGGAGAAACAGGAAAATATGCAATAGCGCAACAGAAAAGACACATTAGCAACACAGTTTAACACAAAGGCTTGATTTGCACATGTTGCATCTGATGCATATTTAATATTAACAGGTTGCAGTAGTTGCACTGCAATGCATATTAAATAGTCACAAATTATAAAATGCATTACGTGTAAGTCTGATTCATTTCTCTGAACCGGTTCTTTTGGGTGGTTCGTTTAAATGAATCGGTTCAAAAAAATAATTGCAGCCATTCTATGACAACTCCATGTCATGATATGTCACGCTAAAACATTCAAATAGAGTACATTTTGTGAACACATAGCTGATTATTAAACGTTCATTCACTTAAGTTAATGAGCTTTGTTGTCACTCTGTGATCCTGCATTTCGAATAGCATACGATTGACAAATATTGATTAACCTATGTCCTGGACAAGTTTCCTACATTAAAGTTTTGCACCTAAAACACAATACAGACATTGATACACAAACACTGTTTTGTTCTAGGTGTCTAAAATGTCTTAAATGGTGAAACATTGTGTTGTCCACAATGGATGGTTTTGAGCGCCACTCTGGACTACATGAAGAGATAATAGACACTGATCTCATTATAATACTAAGGACACTGAAAACAAGGTAACATGTAATGTCATATGCGTAATATCATGTAGTCACAGGGAGAACATATTCATCCAATCTTTAAAAAAAAAGAATTAAAAAAGAATCAGAAACAACACTGAGGAATCGATTCTTGGAAGCAGAATCAATTCCAAAACTTTTGGAATCAAACAGCCCTAGCAGAAACTGCAAATGCAATGCAAACCTATTTGTCAACTTTTGAAATATAGGTCAAGGTCAAGGTCAGTTTATTTATATAGCACATTTAAAAACAGCTAGTGTATGCCAAAGTGCTGTACATATACAAATAAGTAAATATAGAGATTAAAAGAATAAAAAGAAAGCAGACTTATATGAAGCAAATTAAGGGAGTGAATGCTGTCAAAATGCTGCGAATCAAGCGCTGTCTGAAAAGTCTGTCAGGCCTGATGTGCAAGTTTCACATGCAGAAACAAACAGCACTTTCAATTCAGCAAATCTGACTGGATCCAGACGATTCCAGCGGTTTACAGCTACGGTTTGAGGTTTGGGTTCAACTGGAAATAAATGCGAATCAAGTTGGTTAAGTTTGCAATCCCCCCTCACAATCGTTTTATAATTTACGGCCGTTGTCAAAGAAAATATTCAATGCAGTAACCCAGAAATGCAGATTTGTAGAATGGGTGAGTCGACACTATTTGCCAAAAGTCAGAGCCAGTCTGAAGATTTTGACTGATTTAACAGAAAATGTTTCTGCGTTCATTTGTTGTGTTCAGAATGACTCTGGTAGTGTATGATGCCTAGTGCTTTTAAAGATTTTAAAAGTTGTGTAGTGTATTCCAGTCTTAAGTGTGTCAAACAAAACTCATTTCAAAGATTCAGCGACATGAACTTGACAGACTTTGGCAGATCAAACATTCATTATTACTCCCTGGGATCTCATGAAAGCCATTTTGTTTCCCGGTGGACTGATAAAAATGTGCACCCTGACTCCTGGAAACTGTTTAAAACCAATCAATCACAATTCATTTCTGCCACTATTTTCGTGTGCAATACGCACCAGATAGTCTGTGAATGGTGTGTCGCCATCTAAGGCTGAGAGCATTCAGTATCAGCACAATGCAAGGCCGAAAAATGTAAGTGGAAAATACTTGCTGACCACCGTGTATGTTAAGTTCTTTTTTTCCATATCTGAAGGACCCTACACAAGCTGTAGGCCTCTTCACATGCACCAACTTGAGTGAGTACAGGATGTTATACAGAAGATGAAGGGGATGGAAAAACAGTAGCGGTACGATCTAATATCTCTTCTCCTCAGAGGTGAGGTAGCAACCAAACCACCTAGATACATCAAAGAGCTGGACAGGAAAAAAACAGAGCATGCAAAGCAATCAGTTGTAAAGCATGGACACTAAGAGGAATAATATAACCTTTGACCTGTAGCAAACCGTGCGCCGTAAAGCAAAATAAACATATAGAGGCACATGATCTCTCTGGCTGTCATTCTTTGTGTTCTGCACCCTTCCTCATATGGAAAGTAGAGAATCAATGGCTTATCGCAGAGCCATTGAGCTTCTTATCAGGCCACGCCGAACGAGGGTTCGCCTGAAATGGAAGTCACCTTGTTGGCGCGTCAGCTATGGGAACTGAAACCATGCGTATTACGCACAATCATCAGAACAACTGAATAGTAATTATTAAAAGCTTAAAGACCCCAAAAAATGTCTATCGACGAGAGTAGTTTCCTTTCCTGTTTTGAAATAAGAAGTTTGGAACAATAAACTGCCAGTATGCTTTAGTTACGTCACCGCCATGAACTATGATTTGCTACTTATTAGTTAGAAACAGCTGATATCAGAAGGAATATTTTCTTCCTAGAATGAAATGCTTTGCTTTTCACAGTTAAAGCCAGGTCAAGTTAGTAATTTTTAACCTTTAAAACAGTTAAGCTACACTCAGAAAACAATACTTTCACCAAATCTGTATGTATATATATACACACACACACATTTATTACAATTTTTTGTTTAATTAATTTGAGTGTATTTGTGTATACACACACACACACACAAATGAATCAAATATATATAACCATTTGTATGCATGTATATAACCAACCAATGAATCACCACATTGCAAACTTTGATTTTAAGCTAAAATTATATTTAAAAAAGATTCTTTAATAACTACATTTGCATACAGCATTGTGAATGACAAGCGATGGAGGAATATAAAACTGTTCATTTTTAAATTAAAATGTCATATTTGTGGTTTATTGCTAAATAAGCATAAAATAAATAAATAGTGTGTATTGCACAGCATTCAATAAGTACTAAGTTAGTATTCCATTCCAAACATAAACGTTCAAAAATACTTCTGGCATCTGCACTTTTTTGCACTGGACAGATGCTAGAAACAGTCAATTTGAAATGTAAAACTGGCGCGTCAGCTATGGGAACTGAAACCATGCGTATTACGCACAATCATCAGAACAACTGAATAGTAATTATTAAAAGCTTAAAGACCCCAAAAAATGTCTATCGACGAGAGTAGTTTCCTTTCCTGTTTTGAAATAAGAAGTTTGGAACAATAAACTGCCAGTATGCTTTAGTTACATCACCGCCATGAACTATGATTTGCTACTTATTAGTTAGAAACAGCTGATATCAGAAGGAATATTTTCTTCCTAGAATGAAATGCTTTGCTTTTCACAGTTAAAGCCAGGTCAAGTTAGTAATTTTTAACCTTTAAAACAGTTAAGCTACACTCAGAAAACAATACTTTCACCAAATCTGTATGTATATATATACACACACACACATTTATTACAATTTTTTGTTTAATTAATTTGAGTGTATTTGTGTATACACACACACACACACAAATGAATCAAATATATATAACCATTTGTATGCATGTATATAACCAACCAATGAATCACCACATTGCAAACTTTGATTTTAAGCTAAAATTATATTTAAAAAAGATTCTTTAATAACTACATTTGCATACAGCATTGTGAATGACAAGCGATGGAGGAATATAAAACTGTTCATTTTTAAATTAAAATGTCATATTTGTGGTTTATTGCTAAATAAGCATAAAATAAATAAATAGTGTGTATTGCACAGCATTCAATAAGTACTAAGTTAGTATTCCATTCCAAACATAAACGTTCAAAAATACTTCTGGCATCTGCACTTTTTTGCACTGGACAGATGCTAGAAACAATCAATTTGAAATGTAAAACTGACATAAGATCACAGGTCTCATGACTGTGCGAATCGTAAGCATGCTCCTAACAGCAACAGAAGTTTGAAGAAACAGGTGGAAGTGAGGTTTTCCTGTTCCTCACTGGCACGCTTTGTCTCTCGATCACAGGACTAGTGTGACAGCACACCTCATGACCTGCCAGGAACCAGGTCATTATCTGAGATTTATTCATGCTAGCTGCTCTCCAGAGGGCCTGACAGCTGCTGTCAGCAGGGCTGAGATCAGTGCAGTTCTGCTCAGCGGCTCAGCGGCTAATCTGTTACTCATATGACTGCAGCGCACATCCTGATACTTCTGCGTCATATCACTGCCAATATGTGTAAATGTGTAAATCCACTCGTAAGCCACAATGAATTACTGTTGAAATAATTTTATCATAAAGCTGTCCCACGAAGAGCAGAAACTAATTTCTTCAACATTTCTGTCACCATTTACTCACCCTCATGTCATTGCAAACTTGTATGACATTCTTTCTTTTCTGTAGCACATACAGAGATCTTAGGCTGAATGTTCACTCTGCTCTTTTTATACAAAGTAATACAAAAAAGCACCATAAAAGTAGTTCATGCAATATATGGATATTTTCATTTTCGGCTAATCAGAGTAAACGCATGACGTATTTGAACACATTTCACTTCCATAATGTGAAATATTTTCTGGATATTAAAGTGGTCATATGATGCGATTTCAATTTTTCCTTTCTCTTTGGAGTGTTACAAGCTCTTGGTGCATAAAGAAGATCTGTAAAGTTGCAAAGACTAAAGTCTCAAATCCAAAGAGATATTCTTTATAAAAGTTAAGAGTCAGCCACACCTACCTAAAACGGCTCGTTCTAATAACACGCCCCCACATGTCTACGTCACGATGTGGGAAGATTTGCATAACGCCGCCCAAATGTTCACGCAAAGAAAGAAGGCGTAACTTTTATTCTCGCTGTAGTTTTGTTGTTGCTGCCGCCATGTCGTAAAGATGCTGTGTGCTTTGTTGTGAAAGCGAAACTACCATATTGGCCCGAATATAAGACGACCCTGATTATAAGACGACTCCGTTAACGCGGACAGTTTTTTCTGACACTAACTATCTAATAAATTTTTGGTTGACTAAGCCTCTTCTCATCAACTAACATTTAGTTGACTATTAGGGAGGCAGCCCAAGTTGCTAGAGTATTTTGAATGGTTGCTTACTGGCCCAACTCAAAAGAGCCCACCCAAAAGACTTGGGCCTGTAAGCAAAAACCCAGAACACCAAATTATTGTGGTGATTACTTTTGCATGGAAAGCACCACCCTTTTTTTTGTAAAATGTAAAAGTGTAGCTTGCTTTATCATGCTGGCCCTTTACACTAATTTAGCCCCTTTTCTCAGTTTTGCAGCCTGCTTTTTCCAAACACGTGGTTTAGAGTGGAATCCTCTGAAATCTCCCTGCGATGCTGAGAAGCTCAGTTTATTGTTTTTTGAGTGGGCACGAGGCTGTTGTTGTTATTTCTGAGAACTTTCCATTGGAACCGGCTGATGAGTCAAAAGACAAAAAGAGTGTCATGCAGCAGCAGACAGAGCAGAGAGACAGCACTTCACACATACCTTGTTGAGCAAGGCACGGTCCTCTTTGATATGGCATTCTCGTATGGCGAGAGCAAACTGCTCCAAGGTCACTGCAGAAACACAATTAGAGAAATTAACAGCATAATAGTGAAATAAGAAGGGGGAGTTGCATTACACATTTTTTCCCCTTAGGTCCAAGTTATTTGCATCGAAAACAGTAAAGTCTTGGGGGGGGTTTATGACTATTTTTCACCTTCTCCCTGACCCTTAAAATAAAATGAGACACTTTGTCTTTAAGAAACACTCCTTTCACATTTGAAATGAGAAGCAGTGCTTTGATGTACCAAAATCTGCTGCACCCCCGGGCAGATGTTTTCTATCTAGGCAATATTTATTTCAGCTTGAAAGAGGAAAGACCAAAAACAATTTAAAACAGAAATGTATTTATCATTCAAATCATCATATTTTGGATTCAGCTAGTGAATTTGCATTCTAGAGTAAGCAAACTACCGAAAATGTGATGTATCTATTTACCTGAAAGGTAGAACTTTCCCAGCTAACAAAAATATGTTCTAAGAACGTTTTTCTAACGTTCCAATTAAGTTACAAAAACATTCTTTTGGAATGTTCCAGTTTTAAAAATGACTTAAAACGTTTCCCCAACATTTAATATTATCGTTTCGCAAACATTCTGGGAATGTTACTTTCGAATGTTACATTTTGAAAAAAAATGTTAAGACGAATGTCCAACCGAAGTTTCAGGAAAAAAATATGCATAATGTTTTTTGTGCTAACGTTTTGAGAATATTATTAAAGACGAGATAACTTCCAATGAATGTTCTGCTAACCAGAAGAACGTTTGTTCATAACTTTGATAGAACCTTGCCTGAACATTAGCTAAAGTTCTGAGAACTTTCCTACAGTCACATTATTGAGAGTAAATGCTTATTCATCTGATCATTCTTCATTCATAACTGCACAAATTTCCAAAATGTACAGTACATTTTCATAGTGCATTAAGCTCTTTTATTTCAAAAGATGAAGGAAAATGTAATTTCTCATGATAGGAGCCTATAAAAATTGATTTTTTTTTTATTTAAAACAACTGTTATATTAAAATATCATATTATGGCAGATTTTATGCCATGCTTTGAATGGACAAAAGTGCTTGAATTGACAGAGTTGGCTATTTGCATCTCCTTACAGTGCCTGTGACTCTCTATGACTGATTTGAGGCACTGAACAATGCAATAGATATTCTGTGATCTGTGACCGCTACTATGTGTTACAATCATGCGTGTTAAGTCAGTATTAATATCATAAATGAAAGCCCAAACTGGAACACTCATGTAAAGTGTGAATAAAAGCCCCTCATCTCAATGTTATCAGCACCATCTCAGAGAAAATTAGCGCATGATCTGTGTGTGTGTGTGTGTGTGTGTGTGTGTGTGTGTGTGTGTGTGTGTGTGTGTGTAAGTGTGTGGGAGGAGGGTGAGAGAATGGAAATTTGCTATCAGGGGAGGAAAATATATCTTGACACACAAACCCATGCACACACACACTGAGCACTGTGGAAATACTCTAGAACATCAGATGCACAGCACCTTTCTGTTGCTTACTGAATGTAAGAGTGAATCAGAAAGTCAAAGGGAAGTTGAACAGTGTCTTTAATGATCAAAGACGAGTGGTGAGTTTATAGTCTACAAGGGCATATGAATCACTTACTCTAGACCTCACACAAATACACTACTAATACAATGTGCTTCTTGAGTTTAGGACACATTTAATTGTAAAATAAGGAAAATTAGCTTTTAGGGATTAGTTGCAGCAACATCCTCACTGCAACAAATGTCTTTAAATTAGTCTTTTGACTTATTTTCATGGACAAATATTTCAAAACCCTTCAATTTTACTTCAAAAACACTGCTCACGATAAATACGATTATCAAGATTAAAAAGGTTTCTTTGTTTGATGTGTTACAAATTTCTTTTAATTATTATTTCAAAAAAATAAAATAATAATTTTGAAATAATTAGACTTGATTTCAATTTATTGATTTTATATTGATTATATGTTTATTTGAATTATTATTGGAATTATTTCATAAATAAATACAGTGAAATCACTAAACCGTAATTGTTGCTCAAATCTGTAACTTAAATTTAACTTTGAATTTCCAGTTGAAAAATCCTAAGACAAAAATGCTATTAAGAATAGCCATTTTGTCATCCTAAGTGTAATTACAAATTAAATTTGAGGTTTTATTTGTCTGCAGTTGATAAAACCATCTGGCAATTCACTAACTTCCTTAATTCCTTAGTTTCCTTAATTGGAATTTGCAGATAATGTGATGCTAAGATGCATGCAAATTTTACAAAAAAGTATTTAAGCACCTGAGTCACAGTTAGATTTCTGAATTTCAAAGCCAATGTCATTTGCAATCAAATGCTGTGCCAGTTTTTCTCAGAACTAACTTCCCATTTCTAAGCCCCTTTTTGCAATGACTTTCAACCATCTGATCTTTTTGTGAAATACTTTTCATGAAAAGTGTCACACTTTTTTGTGGTTTGTTATTTTGTTTAGTAATTCAGTGACTTTCAGAGGTTTCTTTTTATGTGTGGCTTCAGTGTCCAAATACTTTCTGGGGTCGTTGTGCATATGGCATCCCGTCATCATTCAGGGTGATCTTTTGGACCCCTTTGATATCATTTAAAAGTCTTTTGTGAGAATTTGGATGTAAAAAAGAACATCTGCTGACATTTGTGCAACACATGGACTATAAATAATGTAGATAAACTTCCCCTTTCTCTCACCTCTGTGTATGTGTGCCATAGCCAAAGTGGTCACGTGATGTAAACAAGCGTTCCAGGCCATGAAGAACTCATCTTTGTTTTTCTCTACCTGTTCAAGGGAATAAATAGCATTGAATGCAATTTGTTACAATTTACAGTTTCAGGAAAACCGAACAAAATATTGATGACTCGTGTTGCATCACACAGATTTTTGTCCAATCAAATGTTCTCTAGAATGAGAATGTTCCACCCCTGCATCAGACTAGCAAACCAACATAACCACTGTGTATTAGGCAGAGTGAAAGACTTTTTTTTTTTTTTTAATGTGTATTAAGTATTTAAACACTTTGATATTTCCCTAAAAAGAGAAAAACTCTCTTAGGATTTCGATTTTATTATTAATTTTTTTTATTGTGGCCCAAAATGACTAAATTTGCTGCAACTTTTCTCAAAATTGTATTACTGATTTTTGTGTTGATTTGCAGTAAAACCCCACCAATAATCATTATGTATTTATACTATATAATAGCTTGTTTGCAATCACGTGATTCTGATGACGCACGAAATTCAGATGGAGGGCAGGAAGTGAAAAACAGAATGGATGAGATGGAGGAAAGTCCGTACTATACTGGTTTAGAACTATAAGAGAAAGGTATAAACAGAAAATCACAACATATGTTGGACGTGATCCTTATGCTATGAAGAGGAGCGATTTTTCTGCCATCAAGGTGGTGAATATAGGCTAAGCAATTGCTTACCTGAACTAACCCTGATTGCAAAAAAGCTATTTCGAAAGTGAATCCCACATTTATATGAGAGATGCGGGATATATGTCACTCCTGAAACTTTGCTGCATGTACAGGGTATGTGGCCGTTGGTCCTGTTTGCAGGACGTAAAACAATACTTTTATTCAAATTATGAATTGATTATAGCCTAGAAAGCGAGCAAATAGCGCTTCCATGTCATAACTAAAATGCTGTCACTCAAACTTCCAATTATCGCAATCTCACAAAGTTCCGTTATAATCAATGAAGCTCTCTAAACTGCACATATAGTATCTTATTTACATCGTGTCTATGTGTAGCGTTTGGCATTGAGTGAATTCTGACTGTTTTATGCTGAATGCGTGACAGTTGGCAGCCCTGTACCTATTTATACATTTCTTTATTAATATCTCAATATATTATTATATCTTATATTAACCATTTGCACAGACGAGCATTATCCGACTCTGCTGCTCCCGACAGCAAACGCAGGTTTATTAAGCCACTTTTTCCTGCGTTTTTCAGTCAATTTCTTGCCTTTTCCTCCCTTATGAACAACAAATTTTCATACACGATGAAAGCTCATTCATCGGTTTCTCGGTTTGACCAATTTGAGCATCCATAAACAACGCAAAACATAGGCATTTTGAGTTTCTGCTAGCAATTCCTATATAGAAAAAATCACCTCCTGCCCTCCAGCTGCTTTTTGCACGTCAAGTGCACGTCAAATGCAAACAACCTATTACAGTAAGAGTAGTTAGTTGTTGTTGGTTTTTTTTTATTACTGAAATCAATTGTAGTTCTGACAAATCCAAACTTTCATTTCCTTTTGAAGTACCAGTGCTCTGTACGGCCAGTCCTTTGCTGCTCATTTAACAAATGCAATTCACTGTAATACAGCAGCAGGACAGTTGAACACGTGATGATCAGTTTGTTTGTGCTCAGAGATATTGATTAGCTAATATAGCTTTCCCCCCTGAGGTTAACATTGTTTTTTAGGGATGCACGATATATCGGCCACCATATCGGTATCGGCTGATAAATGCTCATTTTTTCTGTTATCGGTATCGGCCCGATAAGAAAATTTGGCCGATATCTTAAAGCCGATAAATAATGCATTATTTCCTTCAGAGACACTTCAGATGCGCGCTGTTCGTTTGCAGCCTTTTGTGCAATTGTACGTTGTAATATTGTGTTTATTTGATGTATATCTGATTTATCTCATATAGAATGCGTTTGGTTAAGTTAAAAGAGCGCTTCAGTTTACCGGTGATAAACCTGCGTTTTTCAGTCAATTTCTTGCCTTTTCCTCCCTTATGAACAACAAATTTTCATACACGATGAAAGCTCATTCATCGGTTTCTCGGTTTGACCAATTTGAGCATCCATAAACAACGCAAAACATAGGCATTTTGAGTTTCTGCTAGCAATTCCTATATAGAAAAAATCACCTCCTGCCCTCCAGCTGCTTTTTGCACGTCAAGTGCACGTCAAATGCAAACAACCTATTACAGTAATAGTAGTTAGTTGTTGTTGGTTTTTTTTATTACTGAAATCAATTGTAGTTCTGACAAATCCAAACTTTCATTTCCTTTTGAAGTCCCAGTGCTCTGTACGGCCAGTCCTTTGCTGCTCATTTAACAAATGCAATTCACTGTAATACAGCAGCAGGACAGTTGAACACGTGATGATCAGTTTGTTTGTGCTCAGAGATATTGATTAGCTAATATAGCTTTCCCCCCTGAGGTTAACATTGTTTTTGACAAAAATGCAAACTGTTGCAAATAATGCAGCAACTGGTTCAATTTGATTCTTGTAAATGCAAGATCGCAAAATCCTGGAGGGACTGTTTGATACTGTATGTCCTGTCTAACTCAGGTTAACGTTTTTTTGCTAAAAACTCATAATAAAACAAAAATTTAACAAAAATGCAAGCTGTTGCAAATAATGCGACAACTGGTTCAATTTGCACTAATTCAGAAGACAGAAATCACAAAATCTTCCTGTTTCAAAGGGAAACTTTTAAACATTTGTGTTTTTATCAGGTTAGTCTCAGATGTTTCTAACAAAGGATGACTGCAAGAGAACTATAAAATGAAAGTGAACAGCATAGTACAAATAATCTTGTTTTGAAATACATTTTGAAGAGATGACATCTGATTACATGCTTTAGGATCTTGGCAAGGGTGTAGGATAGTAGTTGCTGGATATTGACAGGGACATGTCATTGCACCACGACTAATTTCCTACACTCTTGAAAATCATAACAAGCGATGTCCGACTTTGGAAACTATAAAATTCACTGCTTTAGGATTAACAGAACTTTGGATAGTTTCAATATACTTGTCTAGACCAACTTTGAATAAAGAAAAGAGAGGTTTAGAGCCAGATTTCTGTTTATGTATGTGAAATTTAGCTATCAGGAAACACAAATAAAGTTATATTTTCCTATATTCTCTTTTGAGCACTCAAACAATCCAAAGAAAACATATTTAAAACAGAAAGAAAAGTCACTTACAAATTGGATGAACATAAAAAAAAAAGAAAAATCTGACCAAAGTTTCTCTGTGTGGGGTATATTGCCAAACAATTGAATGAATCTTCAAAAGAAAAGTGACAAAAACAGCAACTCACTTCAATTTCTGACTTATATTATGATCACGTGCATAAGCTTTTTGCCAAATTTGGAGTAACTCATTAATCTGTTGTTTGACCTCTTCATGTTTAAGGAGAGAACTGCATATTCATCCTATGTGTAGATTTATAACTTTTTTCTTTTACCTGGCAACACCTCCCTTTTGAAAATTAACCATGGTTTTCCAAAAAAAAACATTGTTAATTTTCTTAGGGGATTTGTTTTTGTGAATACTTAGTTTCTGTTTTCTTTGCTTTGTTTCTGATGGTTTAATGTTTTGTACTGTATAATAAAAAAAAAAATCTAAACAATATGCGCGATACGCGCTCCGAAGTCCCGATCTGAATCAAATGATTCGCGATACGAAGAGCATTTCGAACGCAACTGTGGTTCAACTGATTCGAACTTTCGAAAGTCATGGCCTAATGGTTAGAGAGTCGGACTTGTAACCCAAAGGTCTCGGGTTCGAGTCTCGGTACCTGCAGGGATTGCCGGTGGGGGGAGTGAATGACCAGTACTCTCTTCCACCCTCAATACCACGACTGAGGTGAGACCCTTGAGCAAGGCACCGAACCCCCAACTGCTCCCCGAGCGCTACAGCAATATGACTGCCCACTGCTCCGGGTGTGTGTTCACAGTATGTGTGTGTGTTTGTTTGTTCACTACTCACTGGTGTGTGTGTGTGCACTTGGATGGGATTAATGCAGAGCACAAATTCCGAGAATGGGACACCATACTTGGCCATTTTCACTTTCAAAAGCTCAGTTTTACCCATCACTATAGGCTACATGCTTTTTAAAGGGGGTCATATGATGTTGCTAAAAAGAACATTATTTTGTGTATTTGGTGTAATGAAATGTGTTTATGCGGTTTAAAGGTCCCATATTGTCAAAATTCATTTGTCATTTGGGTTGAAGTGTTCTGGAACAGTGTTGTAAATACAACTTAACCACTGATTTCTAGTCGTGTCCATTTTTGGAAGGCCAAACAAAGTAGTTTCGCTTTCACAACGAAACACAGCGTCACACACGATGGCCTAGAGTGAGGAACGACCGGAGTGCTAGAGTGAGCAGAGGCTGGGGGCTAGAGTGAGGAACGACCGGAGGGTTAGAGTGAACAGAGGCCGGGGGCTAGAGTGAAGAACGACCAGAGGCCTAGAGTGAGCAGAGGCTGGGGGCTATAGTGAGGAACGACCGGAGGGCTAGAGTGA